ATTATACTCCATGTGCAACAGAGAATAGGTATGTTGGTAGAGTACAAATAATTAATAATGAACAAAGTGAAGAAATGTGAAGCATTCAAGTGGAACTTTATTTTATTTTTGAGGCATGGTACACCTGTGGTGAGGAATTACAAAACATTTGAGGCACAGTGTACCTGCTCTAATCGATGTAGTAAAATAATTAGGTAGACAATGGTATAGTGGCCCTTCAAGTCAAACTATGATCACCCACACTTTCTCATTCCTTATAAAAATGATTTTTGTTAAATTAATCTATCATTCATTGTGTTGCTGTGCTCCTTCACAACAAAATGTCTTGTGCATCAGTTTTTGTCATTGCCTTATAAGTTTTATCATACCAAACACTTCAATTTTGTCTCTGGTATCTTGGTATCCACACCTCAATTCTTGCTGAATATTACAAGCTAAATATTTCAAATCTTGTACTATCACCCTCTTCCATTCATCAAACTGTATACATAATGATACTTCTCTTCCTCTTTCTTAAAGAACTTCCTTGCTTTTATCCACATAAATGCAGAATTTTGCATATGACAACAATGTAAAATCTGAGCCTTATTCTTTAGCAACTGATGATAAGGCACTGAAATACAAAAGAACAGCCATTCAGGACACCAACACTAAAAATAATAAACTCAACAATGAACTATTCTACTTTTGAACGAGAAAAAGAAGTAGTCCAAAGTGTGAAATCTAAGACTTAAAGCTAAAACTCTTCACTGAGAAATGTGAACTTTTCAGATTATTGGCACTAGTAATAAAGGCTCATAGTCACAAGGTAGGTGAAAATGTATCTTTTACATGACTTCAGTTAAGAAGAATTGGTTTACAACACTATCTCAGTACTGGAAGAAGGTGAAATTAAATTACAGTAACTTATTGATGAGCAGCCTTCATACATGCGGTATGAATACAGGTGCATGTAACAATGAGTGGGTTGAAAGAGCATAAGCTTTTCTCATCCCTCTTATTTCTTAGACTGGTTTTGCCCTCCTATTAAGTTCTGAAGCATATATGGCAAAATCAAGTACAAACTTGAGTATTTATGTTATCACAAGCTTATGTAGACATGAATGCTTTTGCCTACTGCCATCACACTAACAGTATCAGGATGCAAGTATGGTTAATTTTATATAGTAAGGCCCCAACTTATGATGTTATGACTTACAATGTTCCACACTGACAATACTGGCACTTTGGAACCAATAATGATCACTGCAAATGACAATAGTATTTAAAAATTCCCGTTTATTTTTTTTTTTTTTTAACAAATGCATTTATACTCTGTCTGTTCACTTTATGAATACATGGTGTTCAAAATTGTTTGATATGACATTCATCAAGAATTATATGAAGTGCTTATAATTTTCTAAAGGCTGATCCATAAATTCTCAGTTTTTACGATATCCATTTGTATTTTGCATTATTTTATGCAAGTGTGGAGACTTTATGTTTTGTTTTCGAATTGTAAATTAAATAATCACAGTCTGTAGTAGTCATCACTTCTACTGCTCACATTCTGGATATGTCCAAGGGTGAGGCACAAAACATTGGGAGTTCATGCCACATCCTCCTCCATGCAATTATCCTAACCACTACCTTCTTACACTAGTTACCCTGGAACATTAACTCCTCACCATAACAATGAGGGAGTAGTGAGCATATGTAAAGAATTTTGAAACAGATACATTGCTAGAGTGGGAGTGAATAGAAGAGTGAGAGAGGGAGTCTAGCTGTTGCTTGCCCTATCACCCCCATTTTCTCACACCACACACTCAATCACATTACTATATTGAAAACAACTGCCAAACCCATATGGGACATACAGAAGACTCAAAGACATCAGTAAGAAAAGAGTGAGCATATACAGAGTATCAACTACAATAAAATGAGAAAGAATTGAAGTAAATAGAGAAGGGGGGTAAAACCCTTGTGTAAATAACATTCAAAAGTGAGCCACTGCTAAATGGGAGGTGGACACAAAAAGAAAGCTAGCATCAGGTAGAGTAGGCTCCAAAACCTGGTGGTCCCTGGTCAAGGACAGACAAGGTTATCTGCCTGATGAACTCATTCCACCTCTAAATGGACAGGATGGGACCACCTCTACTAGTAGTCAAGAGAAAATGGACCTCTTTGCCAAACACTTTGCTACCAAAGTGCAAGTTCCTGATCCAGCAAAGGACCCTCCTTGGCTAGCTGCAAGAATTGTGTCAAAACTGTCAGTGGTGACAATAAGACAGGAAGAGGTGCACTTCCTTCTTAAATTGCTTGACCAAGAAAAGGCTGTGGGCCCAGACAAGTTGAGCCCAAGATTGCTGAGATGATGTGCAGACCAGACAGCAGCAGCACTAACTCGCATCTTTCAGCACTGCATAGTACAGTGTAAATGGCCTTCTCTGTGGAAAGAGGCAAATGTAGTCCCTGTTCACAAAAAGAAGAGCAGAGCAGAAATCAGCAACTACAGACCAGTGTCACTCCTATCAATCATTGGCAAGCTCCTTGAGAGAATAATCTCAAGACAAATGACAGTTTTTTGACTACCACTCACTACTTTGTGACCGTCAATATGGCTTCAGGAAAGGTTACTTTGCTGCTGATCTGTTGTTAAACCTCTCCACTAAGTGGCACCAGTCACTGGGTGAATCCAAAGTCAGCTGTGTGGTTGCACTGGACATTGCTGGTGCTTTCGACTGGGTGTGGCACCAGGGCCTCTTAGCAAAACTGCAAGCTCTGGGAACTGCAGGCTCTATGCTATGTCTTCTTAGTGATTACCTTCATGGTAGATCTCTAAGGGTAGTTCTCAATGGAACAGAATCAGCAAGACATCCTATTGGGGCAAGTGTTCCACAGGGAAGTGTTCTGGGACCATTGTTATGGAATGTCTACTTCAATGACCTTCATCTCATCCCAAAATCCCATGCATATGCAGACGACTGTACACTGACATTCACTTATCCAGGAGAAGAGATGCCAGCTGCTCTAAGATACATCAATCACAAGCTAGGAGCTATATCAGCTTGGGGAAATAGATGGCAAGTATCATTTGCACCTGAGAAAACACAAATGATTATGATCTCTAGGCACAAAGATGGTAATGCCGTTGCAGTAGTAAGGATGAATGGGAGGGTGTTAGCACCTGGGGAAGAAGTTGATATCCTTGGGGTGAAATATGACTCCAAACTGACTATGAAAAACCACGTTGTAAATCTTGCAAACAAGGCAGCCAGGAAGCTTACAGCACTTCGCCGTATCTCACATCTACTTGACAGCAGGGGTTGCTAGATTTTGTACGAGGCACAAGTACACTCACACCTTGAGTATGCTCCACTTTCTTGGTTCGCCTGCCCCCCTTCTCATCTGCGACTGCTTGACAGAATAGAGAACAGAGCAAGACGTCTCATCTCTCGCCTGAACCAATCCTGGATAGATCTGTCATTTCAGCAGAGCCTTCAACACAGGAGGGATGTGGGTGGCTTTACTGTTATGTACAAGGCCAATATTGTAAACGTACCACACTTGGATCCACTTCAAGGACAGCGTGAAGCAAGTTTCTATACCACAAGATGTGCAGAAAGCAGCAACTTTACTCTGGCTGTACCCTTCTCCAGAACATCACTTCATCTGAGATCATTTATTCCCAGGATGACTTGTCTGGAACACATTCGTACAGCATTATGATGTCAACGAGATAAAGTCAGTTGATCAGATGAAAATGCTGGCCCACAGATGGCTCCAACTTCATCCTGTTCCCTACTTGTATGTTTCATTACAATAAAAATGCTTTGAAAAGTTAGGGATCCTTAACCTAACCTTGTCAAACCCTGTGTAAAAAGAGAGAGAGAGAGAGAGAGAGAGAGAGAGAGAGAGAGAGAGAGAGAGAGAGAGAGAGAGAGAGGAGAGAGAGAGGAGAGAGGAGAGAGAGAGGAGAGAGGAGGAGAGGAGATGAGAGAGAGATGAGAGAGAGAGATGAGAGAGAGAGATGAGAGAGATGAGAGAGAGAGATGAGAGAGAGAGATGAGAGAGAGAGATAGAGATGAGAGAGGAGAGATAGAGATAAGAGAGAGAGAGAGAGAGAGAGAGAGATGAGAGAGAGAGAGAGAGATGAGAGAGAGAGAGATGAGAGAGAGAGATGACAGAGATGAGAGAGATGAGATGAGAGATGAGAGAGATGAGATGAGAGATGAGAGAGATGAGATGAGAGATATGAGATGAGAGATGAGATGAGAGAGGAGAGGAGAGGGAGAGGAGAGGGAGGTGAGATGAGAGATGAGATGAGAGAGAGATGAGAGGAAAGAATAGATAGATGAGAGAGAGAAAAGTGTGTGTGGGGATGTGTGCACACTTGGATGTACACGCCTGTATGTGGTTGAAGTGATGAAGTCACAGCTCCTTGTCCAGCCTCTTTGCTAGTCGCTACTAGGTACACTCTTCCCTGGCTCGAAGAGCCTTACTGTACCTCTTCTTAATTGAAGCTATTTATAGATACTGTCTGTGTCTGTCTGTCTGTCTGTCTGTCTGTCTCTGTCTCTGTCTCTGTCTCTGTCTCTCTCTCTCTCTCTCTCCAGCTCCTGCCCATTCCTACACATCTGTACTGTATACTGCACTGTTAATTAACCCATACATAATACATCAATTACACAAATTTTAATATTACAGTATTTCTAGGTGAAAAGGGACAGTATTTTATGTACAATATTAGGTAAATACTCTGTCAAAAACACAAATGAAATTAGAAAACGAATATTATGGCTTTTGACTGCACTTCCAATTAGTATAAGTGTCTGGGAAAATAAATTCAGAGTTTTGAAAACTACTTACAATTTTCTGGAATGACTTAACATCGTAAGTTGGGGGCCCTACGGTATACACATACAGCAACTCTCAAAAATCAAATACAATACCTTCATATGTAAAGATTTGTTAACCCTAAATAGATGATGTGACTATGTTTTGCAATTAAAAATAAGTACCTGTGGCTGTCTTGCTGTGTCTTGGTGTTCACCCTCATCAGTTGCTGAATAAGGGTCATACTGTTGTTGTCCACCTTCCATCTTCACTTGCTGTTGAAACTGTTGCCATTGTTGTTCCAGAGATACTGGTCTATGCTCCTGGTGATTAGGCCGGTTAGTGTAATAATTAGAGGGTGGATGTAGGTGTTGCTGAGGCTGATCTAGTTTCTGTCCCTGAAAGAGAGACAAGAAAAATGAAGGAGACATTTTTCAATGAATACAAGAATCACTAGTGTCAGTGTAAAAATTAAAGCAAATGAAACTTGCGAGAGTATCCAAGCAGCAATTTCCATGGCCAATAACTATCATGAGGAGTGCAAATATCATGTAATTTCTGGTAAAATGCAATACTGCATCAGTTTACATATCTAGAGTACAAAAATACAAAAAAGCTTTCAAAATATTTAAAAATTGTTCTACAATATATAAGAGAATTATCAAGACAGCTGGTAATAACAAGCATGTGATCTTGCTTAAGTGAGTTATACAATTAGTATTGGTATCACTCTGTCCAGAACAAGTTTCATGTGAAAAAACTCCAACTTTTCTTCAAATAATGTTCCAACTGGCAATCTAAAAATAATGTAAAATTATGAGCTAAGACTACAGTTAGACATTTAGTACAATACTTAAACAGGGATAAAAGAAGGTACTATATATCCCAATTCCTATCAATTTCAAAAACTGCAACTAGGGTATAGCAGTTTGAAGAGCTACAAAGCCTTCAAGGAGGAATGAGGGGAAAGGAAGTGTGTTTCATTCACAGTTATAGTTAGTTTAAAGACAAAATTCATTGAAAATTTCCATACAGTATCAGGATTACTGGGAATTTTAAATGTTAAATTTCAAGCTGATCTGAGTGAGTTTTGATTTTGGGGGGATTTTACTTTTTCAAAATACTGTACATCACATGAAAATATCAATGACAGCATGTAATACTGCATGCAACATACAATTATACTAACTTTTTTTTTGAATACTGATCAATGACAAACATGTAATATTTAAAAATGCAATTCTAAAATAAAAAAGGCAAAAAAGTATCTGCTCAATAAGCACTTTTTTTTTTACCTCAATGGCAGTCTTCCACCAGTGACCAAAAAAAAAATCATTCATTCAATTGCTATCTTTCCAGAAGAATGCTGACATCACAATAAAGATCCCCCCCCCACCTATATCCTATATGGGCTAAAGTCTGAAGCAAAACCATTCATTAAAATAAACAAAACACATTAAAATAATAAACAAAAAGAAGGCTTTTCCTAGCTGTTTAATTCTACTGCAAAACACTGTAATGCCAAACACACACAATGCAGTTTCAAAGTCCACAATCACTAACACACTTTATATGATCCTTGAACAAATTTGTTCTAAATTTAAATATTTGATTGAAGCACTATTTAAATATAAAATATTCCCTTTACATAATATTTATATCCTGTATATGAAAAGGATAAAAACAGCAACATTACTATGTCTAAACTTTATCACATGGAGAGACTAAAAGATGAACTGACAAACTTTCTTGCTGGAGAGCTCACGTAATATGTTAAGAACACTAAAAACATTAAGTTCACTTGGCAGGACTAAGAAATGGCTAGTCATTACGATATACTTTATCTAGTGAGCGCTCATGGAGGAAGAGAAACAATACTGCACACACCCTACAAGGTTTAACAAGGAGCTCAAAAACTGCACATATAATGTACTAGCCAGACTCTTGATATCAGGGGTTTCATGCTAAAGTAACCCTGTGCTTCCACCAGATTCAGGACTTCTTACTATACATAGTATAAAAAGACATTATGTGAGCCTTCATTTGGACCACTGATGGCCTTCAAGTTTTCAGACTTCAATGCCTTATGAGCAACAGATGTTACAAAATCATTCGCTATCAAAGTAACACAGTAGAAAGCATTCAAGTTCAATAAACAGTGATATGCTCGAAGGCTTAGGAAAGTTAACATGTTCTTTGGAAATGAAACATTCCCTTGAGAAACTTATCTGCCAGTGTATGTGCCACAAACAAAAATGACACATAGGTGATTGTGAGGTCTATTCACAAAGAAGTATTGTACCCTACAGTAACTAAGGTGAGCCTTCAACTAAAAAAAAATAATAAGTATACCCAGCAGTCTTTATGGTATCAAAACATTTAGCAGCATTCTGAATTTTCATTGCCTTTAAATCCAGGAGAGGAACAAGACAGAGATTCGAGACTATAGTACACAGAGTACCCTGTATGATGGCAACTATTTAGGAATTTTGTAAATGTACTTTTAAGAAACATCTACAAGACATACTGAGCTGCACTGAGATGTGCAACTGTGGTGGTGATGAACAACTATGTGGTGGCAACACAAATACAAAGGATGTAAATTCAGATGACTTGGCTTAAAATACTGTAGCAATAACTATAACCTTTTGATACAATCTAAGCTACTTTAGTACTGCATCACCTAATATTTTATTGCATTGCTTTTTCATGTGTATTAAAAGTTTCAAATACTACATTCTATGTATGTACAGGTACCATCCGACTTATGACCTGTGTGACATATGACCACTCGACTTACAACCGTGCATCTGACAACCCTGCCAGATGCAGGGTATACTGTAGCAGCAGCAGTATACTGTAGTTTGATCCTTTACTGACAATGTTTCATCTAAACAAGCAGAGGCAGTAGCAGTAGTTATACATGTGGTGGAAAAGTCAGCCAGTACAAGAGAATGAAAGGTTACAAAAGCTATGGCTTGGGTAGCATCAAAAATAGGTTGGGCAAATGTACATGGATGGATGGATTTGAGAAGGCATGCCCAGTTTGGGCCAACAGGCCTGTTGCAGTGTTCCTCCTCTCATTCTTTTGTTTGTTGTGGAAATCACTTCAATCCATTCATTATTATTGATTGGTTTTCACAAAATAGGTGAATAACTTACTCCCGAGATAATAGCCGAAAATGAACGCATACCCGAACTCGTAAAATATTTTTTCTCCCCAAAACTTTTTTTTCAGTTTTCGTAAGCTACAAGTGTATTACAGTTTGTCCTCATGCTAGATCCGTTTTCTCTCATAAAAGTGATGAAAGAAGGGATAATAAGCCTCATGGCCGGTTTAGGAGAAGCACTGTGCTCAACACAAACAGTTTATTTCCATGAACATTTGCAGCTGGTACATGAGAAAGAAAGGTTACAAAAGCTATGGCTTGGGTAGCATAAAAAATAGGTTGGGCAAATGTACGTATGTATATGGATGGATGGATTTGAGAAGGCATGCCCAGTTTGGGCCAACAGGCCTGTTGCAGTGTTCCTCCTTTCTTATGTAATAGAGAAGGGACACTGAAACACGCCTTCTCAAATCCATCCATATACATTTGCCCAACCTATCTTTTATGCTACCCAAGCCATAGCTTTCATAACCTTTCTTTCTCATGTATCGGCTGCGAATGTTCTCGGAAATTGTTGATATTAGCGATGGCTGCTCTCTCGTTTGTGTCAGCATGCACTTCTACCCAGAAGGTTCCTGTATATCAACACCACAGTCATTGTAGAAAAAAGACACTTATGTACAGTTATTGTAATGATTTTATTTTATTATTTTTGTGTGGAAAAAGACACTTAAGTACAGTTCAGGACATTTATTAAAGGAAACATTTTGCCACAAGTGGCTTCTTCAGTCCTAATACAGAGAAAACTAAGAAAACGCGTATATATAGTGGCAGGAGTCAGGTGAAGTGCCGTGTGGGTACACGTCGTGGTGGTGGTGGGGGGTGGTGGGGGGTGGCAGTGGTGGTGGTCGTAGTAGTAGTAGTAGTAGTGGAACTAAGGTGGTGAAACAGATGGCTACAGAGGGACCTGTTGTCACCATGTAACAGCAGTTTCCAGAATGGGTAATATCCTGTTGATTAGCAATTTTGAGATACTGTAACTACCGGACTTTTACTTTATAGTGTTACTGACAGCAATTAGTGCAGCTTCTATGCATTTTCTCTGTCTTAAGTCGTCATCTTTAATCACTAGTTTAGCCTCTCTGAATTTCATGCATTGTCCAACATCGTCCCTATGTTGAACACACGCTTTTTTGCGGTCATCATTTCTGCAAGCATTTTTGTGTTTGGTGATCCTAATGTCCAGAGATCTGGCTGTTTCCCCTACATATACTTTGTCACACTCCCCCACATGGTATAGTGTAAATTCCTGCACTTGTGCCAGAATCATGCTTGGGTTTTTGTATCAGGTTCCTAATAGTAGTTGAAGAGCTGGTAGATATTTTAGCCAGTTTTCTGTCAAACATTTTTGAAACGTTAGTGGCAATGTTGCTGACCGTTAAAACTATGTAACTTTGAGGCTTTTCTTCAACTTGATTGGTGTTGTTCTTGTTGAGGATACGTGTCGTACGTTTCCTGCAGTACGTACAAAGTGTGGGGAAAAGTGTAGTGAACTAAAAGAATTGGTGATGTATGTGCATTCTTCTTCAAGGAACTGTGGACTGGAAATTCTGTAGGCTCTCAGAAAGAAGCCAGTAACTACCCCTCTTTTAGTTCTGGTGTCATGGTGAGAGAAGAAATGTAGAAGATCGTTCTTGTAGGTAGGTTTCCAGTACACTTTTAGAGAAAGTCTGTTTTCACCAGTACATAGGAGAACATCGAGAAAAGGTAATTGGTTGTCCTTCTCTTCCTCTAGTGTAAATTTAATAGTAGGTTCCAGAGTGTTGATGATGCCACGTACATCTAGATTTTTGGGTACAATGACCAAAATATCATCAATGTACTGCATCCATGTAACTGAACTAGGGATGTTACCGAGGATCAGTCTGGATTCTAGGTCCTCTTGTACTTCTTGTCTTCAAACCTAAAGCAGTTATAATGAACACAAAGTTCGACAAGGCTCACAAAGTCTTGATGGGGTACAGGCAACTCTGTATTAACAATAAGTACAAACAACTCTTCGGGCTAGCCATGGGATCCCCTCTTAGTGCAGTACTTGCCAATTTATACATGGAGGACCTAGAATCCAGACGGATCCTCAGTAGCATCCCCAGTTCAGTTACATGGATGTGGTACGTTGACGATATTTTGGTCATTGTACCCAAAAATCTAGACGTACGTGGCATCCTCAACACTCTGGAACCTACCAATAAATTTACACTAGAGGAAGAGAAGGACAGCCAATTACC